CATCACAAACTATTGCCAAATCATCACTGAATTGGCATGCATCATAGCTCATAAGATACACCAATCATATAAACAAACATTGATCATTCATGTATTAGCGATCCCACTGGTGTCATATTTTATCAAACTACAAATTGGCCTAGCCCACGGTCATTTAGTTTGACTATCACAATAACTAAGTTTGAACTTAAAAATTTCATCTCTAGGGAGTCTAAAATAACTAAACATTTGTATCCACGAACACTTCAATTGGCTTCCAATCCATAAGATGTGCTACCTGGAAATCAAAATGAATATAAGATAAGTTAGTTTTCAGCAAAAACTCTAAAAAATGTCATCTAAGTAGCAGTTAGCATTTGGTGTCAAATGAAGCTAAGTTCATATTCATCATAGCAAGAGTAGATTACATGTTACTAAGAAGCAATAATTCAGTTTCGCACCAACACTCAGATTCTCATTAAACTTCACATAGTGAATCACAAGTAGTAATAATTCAGCAATGCTCACGTGATAGAATGTTCACAAAAATATATGTAAGAATGTTCACGGTTCCAAGAAAATGGAGATATGTACCTGTAGCTTGCCAGCTAAGATTGCAATCAGCGTTAGTAGCTTGTCATGATCTGCACATTTAAACCAAATTCAGAAAGCAGGGTTTTGTGGGATCTTGATATGCATATTTAATTTAGTGACTATGAAAATGGATGAACTGGATGAAACATCACAAGTCAATACTACATCAGACTCATTATGAGTAAGCTTAAAAAAAGAATTGTCAAAGATTCAAAAAAGAAATGTCATCTATTTATCAGCGAGCTTTGAAACTAATTAAATAGTTTAAACAGACATTGCAGTGAAGCAAATAGAAAAATGACTGCATATCTCCATTCAACTATTCTACAAGTCCAACAAGATCTCAATGAAAATGTGTAAAGAGCTTACTATCCTCAATAGAAAGATGACTGCATATCTCCATTCAGCTATCACAAAAATAGGAGTATGTATAGTATCCCACCTTCTTCTAAGATTTTTGCTGCCTTTAGGAACCTTCTCATGTGACAATATAGAGTCAGCACTAACATTGAAATTGAGTGTTTGCATCAAAGTCAAGACCAGCATGTTCAGGCTGGGTCAGAGTACTATCCTCCTCTCCTGCAGAAATTTAAATAGGCGTGAAATTTCAATGTTGCAATGACATTACAAATGCTAATTAACAGATATCTAGACGAGTGTTCTTATAGGCATTTAATCAAACAATTCAAGTATAAATTTCAAAACAATAGTATTCTTGCATTGATTACAATACGTGGCTCAAGCAAGCAAGCAAAAAACTTCAGCATAGTTTTGTTCCATGACCTCAATCGATAGGTGCAGAGGTTCAGCATCTGGCCGTCCTTGCTCGACACCAGCATCTGCAGGAGCCTAAGGATCTCGACGCACCCTGCAGGAGAGACGAGATGATGTGGGGAGCCGAGGACCTACACAACACGAGCGGACAGAGAAAGTGTACCTGATTATGCTCGTCGTCCTCGTTGCCCTGGCATCTGGCCGTCCTTGCTTGACACCGCTATACTAATAAAAAAATAAATTACAGAATTCATTAGTAATCCGTGAGACGAATTTATTAAGCTTAATTAATTTATCATTAACACATGTGTTACTATAGTACCATATTGTCAAATCATGGACTAATTAGGCTTAAAAGATTCGTCTTGCAAATTAGTCGTAAACTGTGTAATTAGTTATTTTTTAGTTTATATTTAATATTTTATACATATGTCTAAATATTTGATGAGATAGAAAGTAGCATCTAAACAAAGGCCCGGATCTGGCTCCGAAAGCGACCCAACGACCTCCTCAGGCATGTTGTCAAAAAAAAAAGAACCCGACCTCCTCAGACATCATAAAAACACTATGCATGCACAGCGAATCTTCGAGCATACATATCCTGCCCAAAAGATTTAACACATGCATGCATGCATGGTCCGCCGCATATAATATTTTTCCACTGCCCCCGGAAAAAGAACGTACGTGCCACATATATTTAAATTTAAAATTTCTGCATGCACAAAAGGCGCACCTGCTGGTCATAAATGTCTGCGTGCGTACGTATGCAGTCCCTACTATTCGATCTCTTGTGTAGATGTGTACATACTACTCCCTCCATCGGTATGCAATTATGGGATTCGTGTCGGCGAAGTAGTTCAAATTTAACCAAGTTTATAGTAAATAGTATTAATATTTATATTTTCGAATAAAATTATTAAAAAAATATATTTTATGATTAATCTAATGATACTAATTTTATATAAAAAATGTTAGTATTTTCTTATATAATTTTAACCAAAGTTTAAACTGGTTGATTTCTCAGAAAAGCGAGAATTGCATTCCAACTGAGGGAGTACTGTACATGCCGCACCTACGCGTGTGACGACAGCGATATCGCGCGCTTTGGCCGGTGATGTCGCACATTCCGTGTGTCTCTACAGGGACACACCAGTAGACTTTGCTCTTGACCGACTTTAGCTAGCTAGTGTAAACACACGTACAGGTCGATCCACACATATATAGCTGGCAAGAAAAAGACTAGCTTGTTGCTTGCATCCTAAAACAAAAGCAGGGGGGGGATTGATTTCAGAATACATGGATATGCACGTCAATTGACCTTACTTTTGTTTGTTGGGTTACTATTTCTCACGCCTCTTGTTAGATGTATTAGTCTCATACCAAAGATCAATGGTGATGGGAGAACCATCAATATATATGTGGGATATATAGCTCTCACGCACCCATCAAGCTAGTTTTTTTTTTAATTGAGTTTAGGATAAGGACTTCGTTCGTAGCGGGATCTTGTAGATGTGCATGCACCTGTGCAGTGGTGTGGCACCGGCTCGTGAGTATATCTAGCTAGACCAGTTTTTTGTGAACTATAACAAGTGGCGCAGCTATCATAGCAATGGTTGGAAAACCTGGAACCTCTCTCGTGGTCAAATGAGGTGATAGGGGAAGCCCAGACGTTACCTCTCATGTGTGACACTCTAAAACCTGACCGAGGGAGCCCAGTGAACACCTCATGTGTTGATACACTCACATCTCCTATACACCATTAGTCATGAGATTTTTCATGCGACTGGTGCCTATTCTTGCCGGCAAGAAAGTCTGTGATAGGTTAAAGGAGGAGGGTTTCCGTCTTCTCATCTAAGAATCTTCGGTGGCAGAGCCAAGATGGCCAGGTAGGGTTTATGAGGAGGGTTTTTCGTCTTCTCTATAGATCGTTGATGACAATGGTGGGATGACTAGAGGCCTGGTTGGAGGGGTCAGTGATGAGGGCATCAATTGGATTATCTTGGTTAGTGTTACAATGGTGTTTATGGTGATGGCTGAAGGCATAAGAATGGTCTGGAGTCAGGACAAAGATGAAGAGGATGAAATAAAAACAAACTACTAGATCCATTCGATCGTGATGATATCTCTAACAAGAAACATTACCTAATGTTTTTTTTGCACATTTTCATGAGTATGTAGTCTAGCATTTTCATTATCAATTCACCAACTGTACGTTTAAAGCCCCTTTACAATGTAAGAATTTTATAGGAACCACACAATAATTTCGCAAAAAAAATATTTCTATAGAAAAGCGTACGATTTAGAAAATAAGATTCACGTACCAAAAAGAATGTTAGTGATTTATTATATGCTTTCTTCGTTCCAATATATATTAATTTTTAGCTATATATCTAGACAAGTGCTTGTCTATGTACATAGCTACAAGAACTTAATTTATTTTGAGACAAACCCATATGAGTCTGTCTACTACATAACCACATGTTTTATGCAGTTTCAACACATGATTTTTTTGCACCATAGGATTAAGATCCAACAGTCTCCACCCTTCTTCTACCTCTAGCCTCCAGCCTCCACAGATCATAGATCATATTTTTTCTATGGAAGGACAAATCACAGATCCGCCGCCGCCGCCACTGCCATGGCCGGGGCGGGCACGGGCGCCGGGGCGAGCTCGCCGGTCGCTGTCGCCGGCGCCGGTGGTCACCGTGAGAAAGAGAGAGGGAGAGAGATACAAAAAAATCTATGTGTTTTTTTATGTTAAAACACATGTGTTATATAGCATTTTTGTTATTGTTTGACCAACTCCTGTCACGTTCTCACCGTGTGGTGTGTTGTATTCGTATCGAGCAAATTATACATTTCTAAAAGAGTATGTCTGTTTGACACTTGGGTGTTTTACCCCAACTCCACACCTGAATTTTTCTGGCACTATTCATCTTCTACCTCCAGCAGCACGCGCACTGTTCATCTTCTACCTTCAGCCGGCCGTCGCGCCGCCCGCGGCACTGTTTATCTTCTTCGTTGGCACAGATCAGGAAACAATTTTTTTCTATGAAAGAACAAGGACAAATCGCGGCTGTGTCGGCACAGATCACAAGCAACAGATAGCGGCGGAGCGGGCACGGCCATGCCGCGGGGGCGGCGGCGGAGGTCCGACTTGGGGGCGGCGGAGGTCCAGCTTGAGGGCGGCGGCGGAGGTCCGACCTGGTGGCGGCGACGGAGGTCCGTCCGACTGGGGCGCGAGGCGCCATCGCACCGGGCCAGCTCGTCGGTCCCGGATCAGCTCCGGTGAGAGAGAGAGAGCACGCGGAGGGGAGGATGGGAGCGCGAGGGGAGGAGTCGGTCAGAGCCTCATGTCAGAGACACGGAAAAAATCATATGTTTATCGGTGCTAAAACACCCGTGGTGTTTAGCATTCCTGCTCTAAAAACCGGTGGACAAGCAAAGTTTCCCATTCCCAACTCCCAACTTCCCCAGCTGCCAGAGCCTCCCTGTTTGCAACAAAAGCAGGTAGCCGAGGTCGTAAATGCAAATGTATCGCCGGCTCTATAAAAGCAGAACCCTATATGCTAGTATGCTACTACAGGCAAGCAGTGCCGCACACCCACGCTGGCACTTGAGGTTCAGTCACCATAGTCAGGCCGTACGTGACAATGGACGACCTGCTCTCCCCGTGCTCCTCCTCCTCCCCGCCCTCGCCGCCATCCTTCTTCTCCCACGCCGGCCTCCACCCAGTCATCGAGTTCGCCTCCTGTGAGGTCCCCGAGCAATGGCTGCTCGACGACGTCGTCGTGGCCAAGAACGAGGGCTACGACGACGTGGACGACCTGTGGCCCGTGGGGAGCTCGCTCTCCCCAGACTCTGAGCTCACCGAGCAGCCGCTTCCTCGCCAGCCACCGCCACCGCCGCCGCCGCAGCAGGCGGAGCTGAGCGTCGTCAAGGCTCCGGCGCAGCAGCGCCCCGGGAAGCGGCGGGGGCGGAAGCCCGGGCCCCGCCCGGACGGCCCCACCGCCAGCCACGTGGAGGCCGAGCGCCAGCGCCGGGAGAAGATGAACCGGCGGTTCTGCGACCTCCGCGCCGCCGTCCCCACCGTATCGCGCATGGACAAGGCCTCCCTCCTCGCGGACGCCGCTGCCTACATCGCGGAGCTGCGCGCCCGCATCGCGAGGCTCGAGGCCGAGTCCAGGCGGGCCGCCGCGGCGAGGTGGGAGCCCGCCGCCGTAGCCGCCGCCGCCCCCTGCGGCGCTCATGAGGGGCCGGGAGCCGGCGGCGGCGCCGACGAGGAGGTGGAGGTGCGGATGCTGGGGCCGGACGCGGCCGCGGTGCGCGCGACGAGCGCGGCCCCGCACGCGCCCGCGCGGCTGATGAGCGCGCTCCGGTCTCTGGAGCTGCACGTGCAGCACGCCTGCGTGACCCGCGTGAACGGCATGACCGTGCAGGACGTCGTGGTTGACGTGGCTACCCCGATGCAGGACGACGACGACGGCCTCCGCGCCGCGCTGCTCCAGATGATGGAGGACAGCGCGGCTACCTAGCTAGCTAGTGCTGGCCACTAGCCAGATCGTAGAGCTAGCTCGCCGGCCGATCTCAACCAGTCGTCGTCTCTCTCTCCGTACGTAACGTAACATCACTCGCGTCACGTACAAAGCAGTGCGAAAATGTCGCGGGTCAGGTCAGGGTAAGTAGATGCTAGTGTTGATTTAGAGGCTAAAACGACCACGATGGACGATCGTGACGTACTAATCCATTGCATTGTGTGCGCTCTGGAATCTCGATGTTGTTGTCTCTGCCTGTCCATGGAATAAAGTGTATGTTAGCTATGTAGCTACCATTGAAGAGGGCTTGGATCCTGTGAACATCGTCACATCTCATGATTCATTCATGGCCGTGTTTAGTTCGGCCGATTCGGCGTTCGGCCGATTCGGCGCCGACGAAATCACGGTAGCTACACTGTAGGTACAGTGATGTTTTTGTTTTTATTTGGTAATAATTGTCCAATCGTTCACTAATTAGGCTTAAAACTTTCGTCTCGTAAAGTACAACCAAACTGTACAATTAGTTTTTGATTTCATCAACATTTAGTACTGCATGCATGTACCGCAAGTTTGATATGACGGGGAATCTTCTTTTTGACATAGTATCAAAGTTGGGAATTTGGTGGAACTAAACATGGCCCTTGTTTAGTTCCTCCTAAACTCCCAATTTTGGTACTATGCAAAAAGAAGATTTCCCGTCACATCAAACTTGCGGTACATGTAAGGAATATACAAAAGTAGACGAAATTAAAAACTAATTGCACAGTTTGGTTGTACTTTGCGAAACGAACATTTTGAGCCTAATTAGTCAACGGTTAGACAATTATTACCAAATACAAACAAAATACTACAGTAGGGAATCTGGCACTATGCAAACTTTACACATCCAAATTCCGGCCAACTAAACGCGCCCATGGCCCAAATAGCCAAATAGGTTACCCAATAATGATTGGCCATGGTGTGCGCGTATATATATATATATATATATATATATATATATATATATATATATATATATATATATATATATATATATATATATATATAGTTTTGTTTGTATATAGTCGAATTTGTATCAATCCACATGTGTTGAGAAGAAACACACTTGTAACTTTTACAACTTAACACATGTGAATCGATATGAATCCAATAACATCCAAACAAATTGAACGTGTCAACGACATGTGTAGTAGACTGAATTAATTAATTTTATTGTTGTATGGTTTGTTAAAATTATTATAGCGTGTATACTACTACGGATAGAAAGACGCATCTGTTTTGCTGCCCACGTCAGCTTCATATACACGTACGTGCTGGGAGCTTCTTCATTTCTTCAATCAGAGCGGGATCTAGCTATGTTGAGTTCCCTTATACACGTACGGCGACATAGAGCCTTGATCCATTCATTGATAAAGTAGTCTTCAGGTGCAGTTTAATTACTTATACCTTTGGAATCGGCAGTAGATTTTTTCTTGCTATATCAATTTGCAGCTGTACAGTAGTAGATCCGGTTTATTATCCGGGCCAAATTAAAAAGAAGCGTGTGTAGCCATTGTATATATCTACTATGCTATACTCTCCTTCATCATTCAAATATACATTTACTACGTCAGAGTGGAGCCTGACTTTAGCCAATTGAGCTTAGCAGAATGTTCACCTAACTACTTGGGTTCAAGTCCTCGAGTTAACATAAATGTTCACATTTTGCTAGATTTATTCTAGGATTTAGATATATATTCCTTTAAGTCGTAGACAATGTGCTCATGTAGGTGTGGGTGTCGACGTCTGCGCTGTGTCATTCACAAAAGAAAACAAGTTACCTGACGGTTCTGTAAAGACGTCCGTACTCAAAAATCGTATTTTCAGGCGCGGTTGTCTGTGATAGAACTGATCGAAATAACGCACTTACGTAGGCGCTTGCCTTCTACTAGACACTTAGCATCCCGAGAGCGAGCTACATCGGGCGGATTCCGTCGAGCACACCCCAAGAGAGAGCCCGAATAATCCACATTATTCCCTCGGATCCAATAATGAGAACGGACTTACATTACTTAGTCTATTTCATACAACCAGACTTCTTAGAAAGACATTATTACATACCAAATTCAGAGTGTGGAAATTAACAGCAAAATAAAAATAAACATCTATCGATAATATACAAGGATCTGTCTGTGCCCACCAGAAGAATCCTTCACACAACGACTACTTCTCAAGCTACACCTGCAACAGGGGTAAATAAACCCTAAGTACACAATGTACTCGCAAGACTTATCCGACTAGTGGGATTAATTTCCCGACTCCAAAGGATATGATAAGCTTTATGGTTTGCCGGGTTTCTTTTTACGGAAAGCCATACTAATAGTGAATCTTTATGTATGTTTATTATTAGCAGTCACGATTAGTTCATTATCTAACCATTCTATGAAAGCACATGTTCTACTTTCAAGCAAGAGTTGAGCAAGCAGTTCTATTTCACCACCTTTCATCTTTCAGTTCTTACTACAGTGCTAGACTGTAGACAAACCGTACCGGATCGCCCGACGATTCGTGAATCAATGTGCCCAGCTAGGTACCCTGAAACACACGTCTCGCTTATACCCCAGGCACAAGCAGGACCAACCCACCACTCTCCTATCACGGGTCCAGGTCCCCATCCAAACTTGGACTCCAAGCCCCCGCTCCTGAGTCCTGGACGCAGTGCGGTGCTTAGACCTCCACCATCTCCGTCTCTAATCAGTCGGTCCGGAAAGAGCCAGAATCCACAATAAGAGAGCAACAAGCCTTTCCTGCGCCCATACACAAGTATGTGTTCGGGATAATAAGTCTGTGACTTGCTTAGAACCCAATGCAATGGCCGGTCCCTAACTGACACAGACAGAGAAATAGTGTAACCAAGCTATGCCCCGTTGGCCGCATGACACAACCTCTTACACCCACCAATACCTAAATCATATCACTGCCCGGTCTCCATTTCCCTTTCACCATTTTTATTATGAGTAATAATAATAATCACCTATTGTGAGTAACAGCAGGTTACTCACGCTACAAAAATTCTGAGCATAACAACTACTCGACCTATGCTAGTAGGACTCATAGATAGGTATATCTATGCATGTAGTTTTCATAAAATGCCTGTAATGTAAATGCATATCATATATATATATATATATATATATATCCAGTGATCATTCAAATATAAGAGTTATGCACTGAGGCTTGCCTTGGATAAGTGGGTTGTCAACAAAGTCAGCAACTGATGGCTCCGGGGCTTCCTTCGGTACGAGAATCTCCTCCTCGTACTCTTCAATTACCTCCTCGTACTCCTGCTCGCCCACAGGCACGAACTCTACCAACTCGTTATCTACATGTATGAAATGATGATGCAACACTTAATAATATGGCAACAACAACTCTTCAAATAAGAATGCATCTATCAAGCTACTAAGCTAGCTCTACCGACCAAGACGCTCAGTTGCCTATCATTTCCACTAAACAGGTATGAAACATTTCATGTATTAACTTAGCAACTAAAGGCATTCTTACTCTTAATACCGATTTACTATATATATAATAAAACAAGGAGTACTAGCTGCCCTATTTATCAACCTATTCTAATGCTACAAAAATTACAGTGAGCACATAATAATCTAATGAATCTATTGTAAAAATTTTATGGCTAAAGCTATTACCAATTTGCCATAAAAATTTCTACAATTATTAATTTACATAACATTAACACTTCTAAATGATTTAATAGACCTTAGCATCAACACAATCATACATAAACTAACCATACTATCAGGTAGACCACATTTTTAGGAACTCAATAGAATTTATTTCACAATTTTTAGATACTCATATGAATTGATATTAATTTCCAAAGTCCAACTTAGAATATAAAATATAAAGCTATTTCTATCTTCTATAAAATAAAAAAGCGAAATCAACTCGCGCGGCCCATGAGTGAGCGGCGCGGCCCACGCACACGCAGCACGCGCGCATGCGCGACCCGTTGGCACGGCCCACGCGGGGCGCGGCCCAACCGCGCGTCAACGGCCCGCGAAGGGGAGGCCCGTGTGCGCTGACAACTTCGCAAAAAACCCCTTGACCTACCGATGATTCACCCCGAAGTCCGCAATACTATTCCTACAGACTGCTCTTTTACAAATACGCCCCTCCCCAATCGCGTCTTTACGACGGGCGGGTCATCCGGCCACCCCCGCGCGCACCGGTGCGGCGGCGATGGCACTGGACCGCCACGCCGGCCGTCCGGGCCCCTCCCCACCCCCGCTAGCGAGCCGAACAGCACCTTCACCCCTAGCGCCTACCCTAGCCGAAGTTACAGGGGCGGTGGAGCTCGCGGAAACGGTGGCCACGACGCGCGCCCATGCGCGACGGCAGCGCGACCACACCGGGCACCCTAATCCACCGCGGGGAGAGATAGCTAACTCTAAAGCACCACTAGCGTACCCCTGGTTGCTGCTGTGGTGATGGTTTGGCCGGGGATTCCACGAACCGAGCTGGCCACGTGCGACGGTGGGATGCGGCGGCGCACTATGGTGACACTGTCGCGTCAGCGACCAAGGCGGGCTGGTAGCGGCTAGGCTGAGGTGCGCAGGGTGAAGGAAGGATCTAGGCGGAACTTGTGGTGAAGGTGGATTGGCGAGAGGTGGTGCCGCGGGTAGCTGCACTCGGCCACGGCCGATTCCGGCCTTAATGGCACGGTGGAGGGGGAAACGGTCAATTGGAGCTCGGTCAGGCTCAATTGAAGGCCGGAGGTGACTGGGCGGTAGCAGGGCTCCAGTAATAACACCTGGCGCGAGTAATTGCGCTGATAATGACCATGCGCTGCGAATTTGGCTCTGGCGCGGCTCGGTCCCGCCTGCCGTCCCATGCGCTGCGAATCTAGCTCGCCGGCCGATCTCAACCGGTCGTCGTCTCTCTCTCCGTACGTAACGTAACATCACTCGCGTCACGTACAATCAGTGCGAAAATGTCGC